AGGCCAATCAATGTCGCCTGTTGCGAGTCCCGATTTCTGCATCTGCATTGCGGCTCTCGGCAAGGTGTCGCACAAAAGGAACCTCCAAAGCTCCTGGAAGTGACGCGAGACGCGAAACTCCTCCTGGTGCTCTGGGAGAAACGTAACAAGAATCGTCTGAGCGACCGCCTTGCCGAAATTCCGGAATCCCTGAAACGGAGTGGTCCTTCCCCCGGCCTCCCTCTAGCGAAAAGACCGGGAGAAAATGGAACGCTCGGTGAGACTGCGCGACATCTGCAAGCGTCCCCATCAAGCTCCGGAGCTGCCCTGGCTATGGAAAATCACAAGTCGTCCCCCATCCGCGAGCCCACCGAAGCGCCAAGCTATCGGACAGCTGCAACATCCAAACAAAAACCAGAACTGAAGTCGAAGTAAGTCAATCAAAACCCGGTATTAAAATGGGTCTACCCAGACCCATGCAAAGAATTAAGTAGGCGACCGCAACTATTTCTGGCTGGGACGGCCCCTTACTAACCTTCATCTACCCGGGTTTTGATTGTGGCTCAAGTGAGCTTCTGTTTTGATTTTTTGACAATAGACGCAGCATATGAATCCGCGGCCTGGCTGGTGGATACTGCGGATCTTGGTGCTGACTGGCCTCTGGCGAAATCTGACTCGCTCGGCTCTTTGAAGCCTTGAAGCACCAAGAAGCGGGGGGCACAAGAATGGACGTTCAGCAGATCTCCGGAGGGAGAAATGCCCTTCATCTGCACTTGGGTGCCGGAGATGCGCATTAAACCATTCACCCTGAACTGTGGACCTTGCACTCAAGTTGTAATTGATGAGTGCAAAGCCCACCATATGCTATTGATCATGTTGCAAACAGTGAAAGCGAGAAAGATCAACTTTGCAAATACCACGTCTATCTGGCGTTCTTCTACACATTTGATCAGGAAGCTCAACAAATATCCTCAACATGCATTACCTCTCTGTTTGTCAGCCCCTTTCGCAGCTGTTGTCACTCCAAGACTGGGCCAGCGTCTTTTTCTAAAATGCTCACCTTGTTCAAAACACTCTGCGTTTGCCTTTTGGAAGCTGCAAGAGAGTGGCCGCTTTCTGTGGAAGCTTCGAAGCTCCTCTTTTTGGCCAGAAGGACCCAGAGGTCAAACAAAGGCGAAGCTAGTTGAACCAAGAGGTATCTGAAGGACAGGGAAAGCAGGTCGCCATCATTTAAGTGTCCCAAGCCAGCCACATGGCGCATATGCACATTTGCTTAACCGAGTTGTCTCAGTAGAGCAATTTTTGTGAAAACTATGCTGCCGAGTCGATTGTTCCTTGCAGAGTCACCTACCCCCTTCACGTGTGTGGTGGTCCAAGCTCCGCCAATTATATATAGGCTACAGGCCATGGTCCTGGTTCCCTCAATCAGCATTATTCTACTGGTTGTCTAGCCCTCGTCTGACGCCAAGTAAGCGATTCGGTACTTTAAACATGGAATCTATGTATGGTCCTAGTACCCAGAGTGACAAGTACAGCAGGGTAGATTGGGGGTTAACACGGGGTTACTCCCCACTGAGCTAAGTGCCGGACCAGGTGTCCAGTTTGGCCTGGTTTCATGTCCAGGCGCTTTCGGCACATGAAACTAGAGACTTCTGGCCTGTGAGTGCTCCGGCCTGTTGCTTTGATCGTTGTGGTCATGAAGTATTCGATCCATTGGATACTGACAACGCACAGGTGGCAGAGCTTCGGCACCCTAGCACACAGAACACAAGAGCCGGGCAGCACGAAACCATCGAGGCAAGCCGCAGGCGTCGGCCTCAGCGGAGCGCTGAGAAAACAACGAGCGCTGGAAGGGTCAAAACAATGACATTGGTGAGCCAAGGTGAGGCACAATCAAACCTGGTACTAAGGCCTTGAGGATGGTCAAACGCCGGCCACGTCGACGACATTGTTGCAAGACCAATTTAGCATGTGTTCAACCCTCGGCAATGGCAATTCCTTTCTCTTGGAAAGCGTCAGCCTATTGAGGACGACCACTTTTCGCAAGACAACCCAGCAACAGGCGCTTCTGTCAAGACAACGTCCCTCAGAGCCCTTTTTGGGGAAGACCATCAATGCAGAACCCACCAAAGAAAGGTAAAAGGGTGCTAAAGAACTGGGAAGAGTATTACAGAATACCTCGATTTGTCCTATTCCGCCTGTCGCCCCACCCCTTGCCCGAACCTGGGCCAAAATAGATTAGCTTTCGGACCCTCTCAAAATGCTTGCCGCAGGTCAATATTGGGTGGGACAACCAGGTCGAAAGCTGTCTTTTCAGGTCACTTTGGTTGCCCTCGGACAGTTGTGTGTTGAGCCAAGAGTGTTGTGGATAACCAAATTGGTTTGTAAGCCACTTCTAAGTCCGCCGTCCAGGTGAGCCAGCCCAACTATTTGGGGGTTGTAACCCAAAGCGGCTAACTTACTGACTGCTTGGCAGAAAGTCCAAGTATCTGCGCAACATGTCCAAGAATCTCCTGGAAATGGGGAATCCTCCAGGGCCCTTCATGGGTTCTCGCTCTGGAAAATCCCCAGACTTCCGCTTGTGCACGCATCCCCCGGTACTGAGGCACCGAACCTTGTGACCTCCAGGGTGAGACACTGTGAGACCCTGAGATCGAATCTATTCGCCTGAGGGGCGAGGGTATCTCGGCCCAGGGTGGACGTCACCGCGTTCAAAGTGAGAAAGGGACTGTCACAGCCACGAAGCAGACAAAGAAAACACAGAAAAAAACAAGAAGTGTTCCATTCTCTTAACCAAGCCAAAGGAAAGAACTTGCGTGGCGGATCCCAAGCTCTCACCAATGTGACGGGATGACACTTCACTTCCTGTCCGACGCGTAGAGAGCGGAAGGCGCAACCTACGGGCCAAAGACCCGGGCGAGTTGTGTGGCTAATGGCCGCCCAAGATTCGGAAGCCCGTCAGTAGGTTGGGGGAGTGGGTGGGTGGTGGTGGTCCTAGGGCTACCGTGTGTGTCGGGATGCCCTGGTTGATCCCCCGGCTTCCTCAATCCTGGCGCCTGACGCCCGGGAAATCGACCGCAGGCCGTGCACCGCCTCTACCCCTGGCTATGCCAGGTGAGATGGACTTGAACCACGCCATCGCATGGCTCACGCAGGCGACCCCTTCCAAGGGACAAAAAACAAAAAGCAAACGACCTTTGCTCTGCTCAAGACTTGGGGTCACTTGACAACATGTCCTCGGGGTCAGAAAATCTGAATGAACATAGGGCCGCCCGCCGCGGCAATGTCTCTTAAACTCAGACTCGCCTCCGAGTGATCGGCGGAGGGCATGGGGCTTGATTTGAGTGGCATCACTACTTGTCGGGGAGTTGCGTGCACAAACCATTCCCTTGAAACATGGAGGGGTCCAACCTATAAAATGCATAAACGCAGCATGGAAAGGTAGATATTTAGCACACGGCCACGTCGCTATTTGCCTTGATCAAGGAACATTTGAGCATACATTCCAAGAAGGCAAGGAACTTAACCCCTATACCATACGATCCAACCCTCCCACCCCTACCCTTGCTTTCCTCCAACGAGCCGGGGGGGGGGGGGGGGGTGTTGGTTTGAAACGGGGGGGGGAGGGGGCTGGATCCTGTGGCTGAAACCATGGTCAACATCTTGAAACAGGCGGGTCCTTTTGGAGGCGCCCACTCTTGTCCCTGTTCAAACAATGCAAAGCTCGGGCAACGCTGGGGAGATCTGTTGCAATACGGGAGGACATGATGCAGGGACTTGTGAGATAGGGGGCTAAAGGGGTCGAGGTGTGTGAATATACATACACACATGTACATATTATTACATGATCATACACATTTCACATTGACATGTCACATGACTATGTATATATATATGTAGATAATAATACTTGTAGAACATTTCCGAATATATATATATATATATATATATATAATATGTTGATGTCTTCCACTCGAAAGACATGGCAAACAAACACAAAGGTTGGACTGCGCGCAAACAATGTCGGCGGGTGCACATGAGGCAATCTGACGTTGTGGTATGCTTGCTCCAGTGCCCGTTTCAAGTTGCCTTCCCAGGATGCCCCAAAACCCACTTAGGTTGAATTGGAGGAGCGAGTGTGAGTCAATACCTTGCCCTTTCTGTTTTGCCATCCTCTTGAAAGGACACCGGTAATCTGTACAGGCTCCAGTCGGACACAAAGCCCACACACACACACAAACAACTCACTTCCTGAGTGGACTGGAAAAAAAGACTTGTTATTTACCACCAAAATGGTCTTCCAGAAAAACACAAAGTCCAGGAACTCGGGAAGTGAGACAAACAAACACGCGCTCCCTGCAAGCTGCTTGTTGAAAGTCGCAGCTGGAGCAAACACTGGTTTATCCTAAGTCGATTGGACAATTATCCTCCTTCGCTTAGGTTGAGCAAAGACTCCCTATAAGTTGAACTGCTTGACGGTTCGTAATCTGTCACTTGCCAAGAAGGGGTCAGAGGTCAAACATGTCAGACCGAGCACATTGACAAACCAATTGCACTCAACAAGACGAGTATTGCCAACATGCTTCCGGAAAAGGACACGTAAAGTTGGGTGTCTTGCAATCAAACCAGGGAGTAGAATCCCTCTAACACAAACTCCACTTTCAAGGCAGCTGTTCACCTACAGACTCAGTCTGCTGAGCAGGCTGCCCACATCCAAAGGTGAACTTCAGTCGACTTGAGTGCCAACAATGAAGTCCCCAACAAAGCCGCCAAGAGACATGTCCCACAATCACCTTCAAGGGGATCCCTTGAAACCGGGATTCGATCTTCAGGGCCACAATGCACTGATTCCAAAACCTGAATTCAGGGACCCCCTAACTAATAATAGACCCACATTGTGGAGGTCCTTTTATCCCAAGCTGAGGTCATCATAAGAAAACAAAAAACGATTCATCCTTTCATCCCCGCCCCCTTCCCCTGCCCCACACAAACCAGACACAACATCGCCCATGAAAAGATGCCTAGAGCGCGGCCAGGTCCTTCTCGAGCAACGATACCTGGCAGAGAAACGGAATCCAGAAAATGTTCCTTCAGAGCTGGAGAGAACCTTGTGAACCAGGGGTCAGCAGTATGGTTGGTGTTTCCTTTGGTTGCCCAGGAAACACACCATTCAAACACAAAGAGGTCCAAAGGGGTGGCCCTTCAAAGTAGGTGTTATCCATTTTTAAACCCCCAAAATAGCCTGCCCTCAAAAAAGCAGAGACGTCCACCTCTGGCCTGCAGTTTGCAAAACAGATTCCCCCCCTTCCCCAAGCCTCTGCAGGCTGGTTGTTTTCCCTGAAATCCGCTTTGAGGATGAGATGTTTCTGGGGGACAACCCCCTGGTTTGGAGTTGCTGGACGATTGATCGGGGACAGCCCCTTTTTAGCTCAAGAAGGAAAACGAGCGCCTGCTTAGGAGTCAGTGGGTTATGAGCCCAAACCTCGACCTGTGCTGAGCCATGGAGGCTCTTTTGTCCTCTTCGGCAAGGACTGCTGCGGAGGCGGCCCAGGAGCCGGAGGACCAAGGACCGGGAGGACCGCCGACGCCGTATGGCCCCTTGAGGAGCAGCGACTTGGCGGCGCCGGTGGTGAACCCTTTTTGGTCGGAGAAGGCCAAAGAGGAGGCTCAGTTGAGGGCCATGAGGCCTCGGGACCTGCCGGTGGAGGAGCCAGAAGGGGGACCGCTGGCGCTGTGTGATGCCGGAGCTCAACTTCCTGAAGGAGGTGGAAACTATGGGCGGGTTGAAAGCGCAGGTGGTGTTCCTCGGGAACTGTTCGACATGATGAAGGGCCTGATCGCTCAGAACCAGCACATGGCGGCGGAGCTGAAGGAGATGAAGGAGCAGATCAACGGAGGTGCTAGTTATGGAAGCCCTGGCAGAGTGAGCCAGAAGGGCGTAGTACCTGCCGGAGGTGGACATCTGGAATCTTCGGGAGCTGCGGCCGGACGAGGAGCTGGTGATGAGCGAGCGCTACAACTTCGGTCAGGTCAGGGGCCGGCGGCTATGACTACCCTGGGATGGGGTGGAATGAGGCCGATGGCAGGAGCTGCTGGGGCTGGTGGTTTGGCTGCAGTGGGTTTTTTCCGCAGGTGAGCTGGAAAAAAAAAACCGTATTAAAACTCTTATCCCAGGATGTTTTCATTGCAAATCCAAGCGGCGGTCTTCATAAGAGTGAGGTCCCACAAAAACATGCCCCTTGAGTGTATGAGGTCTCAGGTGTGTACACCGCTGCAAATTGTTGCTGGCTGCTGCTGCTGGCTGCTGCTGCTGCTGCTGGCTGCTGCTGCGGCTGCTGCTGCTGCGGCTGCTGCTGCTGGCTGCTGCTGCTGCTGCTGGCTGCTGCTGCTGCTGCTGGGTGCTGGCTGCTGCTGGCTGCTGCTGCTGCTGCTGCTGGCTGCTGCGGCTGCTGCTGGCTGCTGCTGCTGCGGCTGCTGCTGCTGGCTGCTGCTGCTGCTGCTGGCTGCTGCAACTCATTGCTGGGATCTGCAGAAACAAAGAAAATGCAAACTACAGACATGGGCCACTCCTGATCCAAGGCATCTACGACTTGCGCGCGACTTGCGCGCGACTTGCGCGCGACTTGCGCGAAAATTTAGCAATCTTCCGGACTCTTTCGACCATGCGGATGATGATGATGATGATGATGATGATGATGATGATGATGATGATGATGATGATGATGATGATGATGATGATGATGATGATGATGATGATGATGATGATGATGATGGTGATGGTGATGATGATGATGAATCATCACTGCGTCACTTGCGCTTCACTTGCGCTTTACTTGCGCGGCCCCATGTTTGACTTGCGCGGCCGCTCCTGCAACACACTCCTGCCATTCAAATTACAAGCGGCGGTGCAGCTAATTTGATAGGTCCAAAAGACCTGGGATCATGCCTTACATTGACACATACAACGGGTTTCTTTTTTCGACTCAGGTGGGGATCGAGGACGTGAAGGACTGCCTTTGTTTCCTGACCTGGGAGATCGCGGAGGACCGGACGCTCGAGGCGTGGGATGGTCAGATGCGGCTAGCCATCGTGGAGGTGACTTGTTTGATGAGCGACAGCACCTTGCAGCTGGAGATAGTGGATGCGGAGGAAATGGAGCAGCGGGAGTACCTGGCGGGCGTCATGCAGATGAACGTGGGCGTGATTGGCCTGGTATGGCGCGAGTACCTGAAGGGCATCCTGCTCGAGATCCTGGAGACCATGGAGGTGCTGGAGTACCTCCTGGGCATCCTGCTGGAGGTCAAGGGCAACCGGCGGCTGGTGCAGGAGGAGGACAGATCCCGGTTTGGATGGGGTCATTGATGGCGAACAACGAGAACATCAGGTCCGTGGAGCTTCCGGCCTTGCCAGAGGTGAAAGAAGGAGAGCTGGGTTCGATGGTGGTGGGCGATTGGCTCGCTCTGATCAACCCAATCATGAGGGACCTGTCGGCGAGGAGTGGTCAATGGTGGGATGAGGTGGTGAAGTTCTCCTCGGAAGCCTACGTGCAATGGTTGAGGGCGGAGCCGCTGGAGCGTTTGTACGTGCAGCCGCAGGGAGTTGGTGATGGGAACGGTCAGTGGGGCCGGATTGAGCAACGGGCTCAGTCGATGTTGTTGGCTTCGTTACCGACCTCATTGAAGGGGGAGATCCTCGCCAACAGAGCCACCTCCTCCGTGCAGGTGTTGTTCCGGATCTTCACGCGGTACCAACCGGGTGGTCTGGGAGAACGGGCGATGTTGTTGAGGCAGCTGGTGGATCCGAGGACACCTACGTCTATGTTGGAGGCTTTGGAGCAGTTGAGGGCGTGGAAGCGCTACCTTCGGAGAGCCCAAGAACTCAAGATCGCCACCCCAGATGCAACCTTGCTGGTCGGAGCGCTGGAGAAGTATGTGGGGGTGATTGTCAAGGCCTCGCCTCAAACTTCTTTCCGGCTCAACTCTGCAAGAGCGGGTTTAAGGATTGACGTGGCGCCGGTGGTGGACTCGGTGCTGCAGTTTGCGGACGTGGTGCTGGCGGAAGCTGAAGCAGGTTTTCACAGCACGGCTCAGGGGACGGCTGCGAAGGTCAAGGCTTTGGTTGCTGGAGAAGGAGGGAGTCCCGACAAGCCCAAGGACTTTGGCAAAAGAGGAGGAAAAGGCAAGGATGGAGGAGGGAAGGATGCCGCCACGGCGCCGACGTGCAGATTCTTCCTCACGGACAGTGGATGCAAGAAGGGAGCAGATTGCACCTACAGGCATGAGTTCGACGGGGACAAGCGAGGGCGCTGCTGGAACTGTGGAGGAACCTCACACACCCGAAAAGACTGTCCGGTAAAGACGCGGAGGACTCGGGATGGAAATGGCGGAGCCGCCAAGACCTACGACGGGACCGATGCGAAGGGCCAGATCGTCAAGAAGGTGGAAATGGAGACTGCGGTGTCTACTACCGGAGGTGGAGGGTCGCCGTCAAGGAGGGTGAATGGGCCACTGCCGGATGGAGGTAGTGGGGAAGCAGTGAGGGGACTCATTCAAGAGGCAGCGGGACTGTTGAAGAGTTTGAGAGGACCGGAATTGAGGAAGATCCAGCTGAGTTCCCTGGAGGTGAAGAACAAAAGGGCCTTGCTGGATGGAGGAGCGACGCATAGCCACGGCAGTGTTCGTCGGTGCAGGAGTGGGACGAGGCCCGGGAGGTGGAGGTGCATTTGGCACAAGGAACCGTGTCTTTGAGGCTCATTCCTTGGACGAGGACGTTGCTGACTATGGAGGAGGTGCAGCCTATTGTGCCGTTGGGCTACCTGGTCCAGAAGGGCTACTCGGTGAAGTGGGAGGGGGATCGCTTTGAGCTGATGGATCAGCATGGGCGGATCCTTGATACTGCCTTGGAGGGAGGGTGTCCCACGGTGGATGAGGAGTTGGGCTTGGAGCTCATCAGGGAGTTGGAGATGGAGGCGCTGAAGTACCAGATGAGGTTGATGGCGCTACGTGGTGAGCCCTTGACGGCCCAGGAGGAAGAGAAGGTCGGCCTCGACTCGGTCAAGTGGCTTCGGAGGTTGCGAGAGCTTTTTCCAGAAGTACCGGAGCGGGTGCTGGAGAGGTTACCACCGAGGTCGGGATGGAATCACTTGCCCTGGAACCCGCGGACGAGGAGGAGGATTCAGAAAGCCAAGGAGATTGTGCTGCATCTCTTCTCCGGCCCGGACGCGAAGTTCTGGGAGAAGGAGCTTGAAACGGCCGATAGAGTCGTGCTCTGCGTTGACCTGGAGTTGGGAGAAGGGCAGGACGTCGGCAAGGACAATGTGATGTCCTACTTGATGGAGTTGTGTGCCTCAGGAAAGGTGAAGATGATCATCGGGGGTCCGCCCTGCCGCACAGTGTCCAGGATGCGATCCTTGCAGCCGGGGCCGCCGCCACTGAGGACGCGGGATGGAGAGGAGCGTTTTGGCCGGAAGAACCTGCCTCAGGTCTTGCTCGACAAGGTGGATGGCGATACGGTCCTTTGGATGCGGATGTTCTTGCTCTACATGGTCGCGGACGAGGCCACGGTCGCGAAGGTGGGTTTCCTCAACGAAAGCCCTCAAGACCCGGAGTCCTACGTGGGTGGCAAGGACCATGGTGGAGGCGAAGGGCGGGAAAGGTATCCTTCGTATTGGGCGTGGGATGAGTGGAAGAAATTCAAGGAGGCCTACGGGATGAAGGAGTACCATTTCGACCAAGGACCCTTCGGCCACGTGAAGACCAAGCCTACCACAGTTGGTACGAACATGGAGATGCTCGAGCAGTTAGACGGTGTTCGAGGGGCGGGCTCCGACAAGGGCCCGATGGAGACGAACCTGGAGGCGAGGATGGCGGCGTCAAAGAAATGGGCTGCCTGGGCGCCAGGGATGAAGAAGGCAATAGCCATGGCGGTGCGCCTTACCGTGGAGCAGGTGAAGCTGAAGCGGTTGAGTGCGGAGCAGTGGCGGGCCCATCTGGCGAATGACCACTTGCCGTTCCACAGAGGATGCCGGACATGCCTGGAAGGGGCAGGGAAGGCGCGG